AAGGAAGAACATCCCAGAAAACTGAAACAACAAGTTCTGGGTGTTTAAATTCTTCGCAAAGGATAGACAATTTTTCGAACGAGTTAAGTTCAAACGCGTTCTTTTTAAAATGTTTACGCTCGATCAATATCAGGCCGGTGGAAACTGCCGTCAGAGCAACATGACGCGGCTTTACGTAATTTTAATGGTATGCATATTATTATGGTAAAGTAGCATGATGCACCATAAATTTTGGATTGGATCTCTATCGATCTCACCTCGATTACTACGTCGCCTTGAGTATCTCCAGTGTCTCTCTTCCTGGAGAACATCAAGCTTGTGTAGCCGTCCATTTCCCAGGAGCTCGTCAGATTGTAATTTTGTTCTGCATCTGGTGGCATCGGCATAGACTGCATTTTAGTCAAATAGTCCTGTCGATAAAATGACGTCAAACAAAAATGACTCTGCTTTACACAGTCATTTGGGACTTAACTGGGCGAGGAAGGTTGAAAGAATACTAGTACTGTTAGTTTATTTCGACCTTCCTCGCTAAGTATTCTCAGTACTGAGAATTGTGCGACGGCCTGGCCGTTTTTTTTGTTTTTGTTTTTTTTTTGTAGATTGCTGACGACAAATTAGATAGTCTTGTGTATACGTGCACTGGTAAATATTACAAATTTACATGGTCTAATATCACCAATAATTTACTTTGCCCTGTGAGAATTGAAATTCTGTTCATTTAGCCGCTATTTCATAATTTAAGTGATAGCTAGATTATCAGGCAACTGTTATTATGATCAGGAGTTTAGTTTGTGAGGCCTTTACTCTGCAACTAAGAAACATGCCGGATCGAGAGAAATGGTTTGATAAACTTGTCAAACTGAATGCAACCATTACCAGTTGAGGGACAATAGTTGAAACTTTTGTGAGCAGTGGTCGTTCCTTTTCGAATAATTCTTGAGTTTTGAATATTATCGAGTTTCCTTTTCTTTTCTAACCCATGAAAACTGTTACTCTAATATTCCCTGATGTAAGATAAAAGTGCTTGACTTAAAACTCTGGGTCATAATTTCTCTCAAGGTAAAACACTCACCTTTGCATAGCCACTACCGTTGTAAACACCTCCAACCATCACATCATAGTTCACCATCCCTCCTTTTGTTTTCGACACACCGAAGCCAACCCAGCCG